AGAGGGCATTTTCTTTAAGAAAGCCTAAAAGAATATTTTAAAACCTAAGTCAGGAAGAATAACATGTTGCGATAAAAACTCTTCCTTCCCAAACAAATCCATTTGCCAGTGGGATCTTTGGCATCTAAGACCAGAGTTTGACTTAACTGTTTCCGTAAGGATCCATTTTGCATTATCAAGGCTTAAAGAATGCTCAGGTACCCCATCGACTTGCTCCCCCAGACAACCAATTATCTGCTTTCTGTCACCACACAGTAGCTTGCATTCTGAAGAATTTCATGTTAATGGAAATCATACAGTATACACTCTATTTTTTTTCTTTTTTGGTCTTCTTTCACTCAGAATAATTACTATGAGATTCATCCATGTTGTTGCATGTATTAGTAGCCTCCTCCTTTTCATTGCTGAGTAGTAATCCATTGTAGTGGATATACCACAATTTGTCTATCCATTCACCTGTTGATGGACATTCGGGTTGGTTCCAGCTTTTGGCTATTACAAATAAAGCTGCTATGAATATTCACGAGTGAGTCTTTGCACAGACTTATGCTTTCATTACATATTCTAGATACAAATCTTTTGTCTGACATATTTTCTGCAAATATTTTCTCCCAATGTGGCTTGTCTTTTTATTACCATACCAGTGTCTTTTGAAGATCAAAGTTTTAAATTTTGATGAAATCCAATTTGTTCATTTTCTGGGTTTTTTTGACATTTATAGTTCATATTTTTTATGTCCTATTTAAGAAATCTTTCCCAACCCCAAGGTTACCTTGCTTGTTTTCTTCTAAAAGTTTTACAATCTTAGCTCTTTTATTTAAGTCTATGATCCATTTCAAGTTAATTTTTTTGTATAGTACATTATACAGTCATTAAAACATATCTATAGTGTTGTGGTATCATAAACATATTCATTTATAAATATTAACAGAAGAGAACCTAATAGAAATTTTTACATACAGGATAGGCACCACTTGATAAGTTTTGACAAAAGCAAACCAATGGTCAAAACCTACAACTTGAAGAAAGAATGAAAAGAAATGTGCTGGAATGTTTTACTGTTTTTAGATTATGTGACCATTGCCTATTTCCTATCTTTTTTCACTTTTCTATATTTTCAGTAATAAGCATCATCTGTTGCTATATCAAAAGTAAATTAAAATATTTTTAAAAAGTCATTTAAGAAAAGGTTTCTTGACTCCAGGCTGCCTTCACACTGCTCTTTAGTGTATCAGTGGCCCCTTTGGAGAACCTGAAAAGTGACCACAGTACCAAGAATTTGCCCTCTCACAAGCCCACTCAATATTGCTTAACAGCAGGAAGAAATGAAACAAAGAATTTCCAACGAGAATTCTCCAAAGAGAATGTGAATTTAGCTGAAGCCTCTAGATGAAACCAAATACAAACCCAAATACCACCCCAATAAAGGAGAAGAGTTCCAGCAGAGGGCAGGCTGGTTGCCCAGCTTGGCCCCCCACCGAAATTGCTTGCCCGTTCGCCCTGACAGTCTGCAGTCACAGATGTGTGTGTCAAACAGCTTCTCCACTCACTCAATCTCCAGGGGCAAAGAACGCTAATGAAATTCTCTCGCTGATGTGCTCACTGTCCTTCTGTCTCGATCTGCTTGCAAAGACAGCCTAAGCCTGCAGCCTCATAATCAGCCCAAGGCTGGCCTGGCTGTCTCTCCATGAGTGTGCACTCCTGACTGTCTGGGAGGCAGGATTTGCCCCTTGAGCTGCTGCAGAGGCCAGACTGGCTGATGGGATTGCCTACAGATGCTTCACAGAGAGAAAGATTACTTCCCTGATTGATGAATAAATAGGGTTGCCAATACAGTCTCCCTGGTCAGAGGGGACCTCTGAAGTAGAAGGACAGATATTTCATCTGCGAAGGTATCCAAGAACCTAACAAGAGGTATGCACTTGGCTGATATGGCGGGCTGGGTAATTCAGCATCTGAGAGGGAGATGAGGGAGGCCGGGCCCACAACCACAGCGAACACCATTAAGGACACCTCCACGGTTCATGCCACCTCCCAAATCCTGATAAGGGATGGGCATACTGCCTCAGTCAAAGTCTCCACTTTAGGCTGTTTTTCCAATGAACGAATGGTCCCTATCATCAGAAATGCAGTCATCCTCTTAGTCCTTACCTGCAGTGACTCACAAACAGGGCAGCAGAAATGACACCGTAATCCTCAAGCTAAACCCCACAGGCTTCCTCGGGCAGGAATTGCTAAGGCAGGCACAGTCAGACTGGGAAGGGGGCAAGGCACTGGAGTGAGCTACTTTTTTCTCAGAAGCATGCAACTTTGGGGATTTCTGGCTGATCTTTCAGAATGAATCAGACAATAATAACAACTATTATCACGATTGTTTTAGTAAGTGGAAGACTAGCTGTCATTATGTGACACTAGACTATGTACTTTATACACCATCATCTTACTGAATTCTCATACAAACATATACACAAAATACTCTATGCAAGGATTAGTAAAATTTAATACCCATAAACCCTCTCTGCAAGAATTACTAGAGGATGTATTCCAGCAAATGGGAAAGAGGAATGGGTAGGTACTTCCACTAAACCCATTTCAGCAATGTAAAGTAACTTGCCAAGGTCTCATAGCTAGGAAGCAGCCAACCTGGGAAAAGAGCCCAGATGGGTCTCATTCCCAAACCCATGATTTTAGCCACTGTAATTTTGTGGCCACCAGGAGATGTGGGAGATGAGGATCACACTTTCAACACAAGCAAAAAAGTGTTGGTGTTTCCAAGACAGAAACATGGCAGGCCCAGAAAAACATGATTTACACCTGGATATGCCTGAATACCAATGAGGTTGCTGCCTCTGTCGTAAACAGATTTGGGCTTAAAACCAGAAATCTCGTCTGTCACTTCCAGAAAGAGTTGTATTCTAGGAGGAAACATGCAATGGACCTTCCATGTTACACAGACACACACACAGACACACACAAAGCCAGACAGCTGAACAACCTTGGGCACTATTTTGGTATTTGTAGCAAAAAAGGCCACATGTTCTCTCCTTCAGAGAAGGAAGAAATCACGTGTGGCAAAAGAATCTAGGACAGTTTTCTCAGAGTGTGAATTGCCTTAAAAGGAATTCCAAATAACAAAAAAATTTGTTCTACATCCCACTCCCGAGTGAATTTGATTTTCCTTGAGGGTAGGAATAGGGTCTCTTGTTTACTTCTGTAGTCTCAGTGCCTGACACGAGCCTGGCACATAGTAGGCACTCAACGCCTTTTAGTTAAATGACCATGAACAAATGGATAGACAGGGATAGGTAGAATAAAGAGGCCAACACATGGTAGTGACGAAAAACACAAGGTGTGGAGCTGGACAGTCCAGGGTTTGAATCACAGCTGCCACTTACCAGAGATACAAGCAAATTACTAACGCTCTCTCTGCCTCACTTCTCTCATTTTTAGAGTGGAGACAAAAACAAATACCAGCTTGACAAAATGGCTGGAAGAATTCAAGGATGCGGGTGTTCAGCATGATGCCTGACACGCGCTAGGTTCCAGGGATGAGATTTGTCTTTGCTTCTGAGGATAACTCTCCAGTCTGGGGGAAGAGCAGAGCTCATTACAATACCTTGCATCTCGGTCTTACAGAGACAAAGCTTGGCTGTTTTTAGGTGACCATGGAGGCTAGCTCTGTTGCTGCAGATGCCAGGTTTGTAGAGGCCGAGGGGGTGAGGGTTCTGCTCTACACTGTCACACCACCCGGGGAGCGCTGTTTCTCTGCTGCACCACGATTTCAGAGGTCGGAGCTCCCCAGGCATGTTGGTAAGAAAGCACTTAGGGGATTGAGGGAAATTAAGATATGTCCCAAGAGGCACAGCCAAAAGGACCAGCCTTGCTCAGAGTTCAAGAACTGAGGGGTGGGACAGGACACGTTCTGCATGGTCCCAGGGTCAGACTGGAACTAAGGAGCGAAAGTGATAGGGTAGCAGATTTCAGTGGGAATCGAGTTTCAGAAAGGCTGCTTTCTTTGCCTAAGTTCACGGTGCAGTGCAGGTCAATGGCAGAGCAATTTGCTGAATCCAGAACCATGTGGCGTAACCCCAGTGCCCCGTCACTATACCTCTCCATACAGGCAGTACAGGGAGAGGGGCGGAATAGACACTGAAATTGCCGTTCTCCTACCCCCAGCCCATCCAACCCCATTCCTGAAGAAAGACTGTTTTGTGTGTGTGTGTGTGTGTGTGTGTGTGTGTGTGTGTGTGTGTGTGTGTATCTGCTTTCTTGCTTCAAGTATTTCTGCAGGACTGAAGGCAGAAGTAGCCTGAATTCAAAGGCTTATTCTGTCATTTGTAAAAGCCTAAGACCTCTGGATGGATGATGCTGGGAGTGGGTGGGGAGTAAGAGGCAAATGCTTTAAGAACCCTGAAGAAGAAGGGGAGACCTCCCCTGGGCTGGGGAGGAGGGGATAATGGGTGCTGTGCTCTGAGCAAACAGCAAGACACATTCTCAGAAGGAATGTTAGTGTCGTGGCCCTGAGGAGGCAGAACCCCAAACCAGGCACCTGGCCTGGCAAAGATGCTCATTCCTATTAGGGCAAGGAGGCACACAGCTCCCAGACCTCAAAGGACCTCAAAGGATTATTGTGGTGAGGATGTCAGTGGCAACCAGCAGACTAGAGGTTCAGCCTCTGCCTTCTTTGCTACAAGCTCCCTGGACCCTGGGGTTATCCTGGAAGGTGGAAAGGCCTCAAAATGACCAAGAAGGGGTTTTTTGCTCATCTGCTCAGATGAGGGCTCAGAGTCAAAGTCGATGTAAAGGAAATAAATATATTGACATTCTTTGCAAATCTGTGCTTGAGAACTGAGATTCATCCCACGGCAGGAGTGCAGGCACCGAATACCATATAAAAAGCGACACAAACACCTGCTTTCCCTCTCCCCACCATCCCCTAGTCAGAGATTGAGTACCCCCAGACCCACCAGCTGGAGAGCGTCTCCCAGCCTCCTGCTTACCTGGGGAGCAGGTGCTTGCGGCTGACACACAGGGCCGTCTGGTAGTCCTGGGTCACGCACACTTTGTGAGGGCTGCACTTTACCTTCAGGCAGGGGTCTTTGGATGGGTCCAGGGCTGAGGCAAAAAGAACAAGAGGGGAGTTAGGACCTCCGGGGAAATTTAATTTCTATTTCAACTCAAACAAACAAGTGGGAAATAAACAGAGCATGTGTTTGCACTCTGTGCTGTTTTCTTAGGCTGGCGGGGATGGGAATGCAAAGCGAAACCAGGGGAATTCTGCGTCTACTGCACACGTTCTTCTTCAATATCAGGAAAGCGATTCCTTTGTGCTTTGGGGAGTTGCTGCATCTTCATCTTGGGCAGGAATTACTTTTAAAAGTCCTTTAGAATCTTACATGCTCCAAGGACTAAGAACTACTTTTTCCTCTTTGGTTATTTGTCTGCTATTGTTTTTTATGACTTCATCCATGCCTAATTTTACTTATTTTCTATAATGTAAATAGTCCTTAAGGACAGAGTTTTTGGCTTCAGTTCAGTAAACATGGACTATGTGCATAAATAAGCCTATTTTAAGTTTTGTGAAGAACTTCAAGATGTGCAAGACAGTTTTGTGCCACATAAAGTTACAATATAATAGGGAAGGAAAAAAAGCTTACATATAAATATTTATTGTGCAAGGGAGAATTAGATAAAGGCCACGATAGGCATATAAAATGATAACACAGCTCAAGAGAAAAATAGAGATCAATTTCTGGGGCAAGGATTAATGAAGCATTAATATGTGAGTTGGATCTTGAAGGATGGGCAGGATTTTGAAAAGCAAAGGTAGAAAAGGCAATCCAAGCAGGGTGGCCAGCACACGCCAAGGTAGGGAGACACTTCTGAGCAATCGTAAGATATTCAATCTGACTAGTAAGGGTGCTTGGTGGGTGGGAATAATGAGAGGGGGAAAGCAGATTCACCCGAGTCACTTGAGAAAGGGTCTCCAAAGACAGCGGTTCATCTATTGCAACATATCCTGGAAGAGGCTGAGCAGCAGGCCCTCAGCTAATCAGCACTCTGCATGCTGAGGTGCACATGCTTGTCATGGCAGAGAAGAGGCCGGCGGGAATTAATTCTTTGCAAAACAAAAGCAATTGTGCCATCTCCCAGCTCCAGGGCCTAAGGCCTATTAGGTGGTAAATCTTTCATAACTGCTCTCCACAGCCAGGGGAGGTGACGTTTTCCCATGTCCTACCCATGCAAACATTTGGTTAAACAAATCGGCATCCCGAGAGGGATTGCAAAACTGCTATAAGAAATGCCATCATCCCCTCAACGATGGGGCCCCTCAGCGTTCACGATTCCCCTGCACTTAGAGGAAGTCATCATTCCTCTCAGCCCGCCCAGGCCCAGAATCTCAACACCATTTTCTTCAGACGGCTGCTGGGAATTTCTCAGGGGCCTGAACACACAACATCCAAAGGCATTTCTGCTGCTTGAACAGCTCAGGGCGGCTCCCTCCACTGCAGCAGCTTCAGCAGCTGTAAACAGAAACTAGGGTGCATTCTCAGGCCTGTCAGGTCAGCAACAAGACCCAGGTCCTGGTCCCAGGGGAATCACCTGGCAAAGCCTACTACCCAAGGGATGTGCCAGCTGCCTGGAGCTTAGCAGAGGGTAGGGGCTGCAAGATGAGAGAGAGGCTGATTTGAGCCCCAGGGAGAGGGTGTTCACTCCCAGCTCTTAAGCTGAGGTCTGCTTCTGGGTGGCGAGAGGCAGGGGACCTGTGTCTGCCCTCACAGTCCTCCCACGCCAGGCCTTCCGGAAACTTGCAGCAGGAACTTCCTGGTTCCCAGTGGAACTCTCTTGGTCCTGGGGATGCCCACATGAGAAGCCAGGAGGCTGGTGCATCTCAGGCCAGTGGCCTTATCCCTGTACACTATCCCTTACCCGAAGCTTGGGGTGGCAGTCTAGCCAACTCTGACTTGCTTTCCAAGACTCTTCCAAAATTGAACCAACAATTAAGAAAGAGTCTATCAGTGACGACCATGCTGGTCCTTCACTGCCTTATCTCACACTTCCAGCCACCACAGGATGAAGTGAGACACACAGATCTCAAGAAAGTTGGGGACCGGAACACTGGCAGCCCTGGCCACAGGTACCCACTGAGGCGTTCCTCTGACAGTCGCCAAGTGCCAAAGAACCCTTGGGATTTTCACTGGCATGGATCTCCGAGATGAAGACTAACCGGCTGGCCTAGGGTGTCGAAACCTGCAGTACCAGTCGACAAGCTTTATAGGCAAATTCGAGCTTCTTTTTGCTTCTGAAGCCAACTTGACAAATTTGCAATGTCCACACTGTGACCCGGATGGCCTCAATGGACAGGGCAACATCAAGGCAATAAGTCAGCGGAGCACAGTAGGGAAGAGCACAGCCTCCAGGCTCAGTGTTTCTGCCTTTGAATGCTGGCTCTACTGCTTACTAAACTTTCTGAACCTCAGTTGCCTCTTCTGTAAAATAGGGGTAATAACAGTACCTCCTATTGCTTTTGCTTGTCATGAGGATTAAATGAGTTAATATTCGTAAGGGATTAGACAGACTTGGGACATGGTGAGCACCTCATAGGTGTTTTTCAATTTTTGCGCATCTGTATTTTGTTCCCAGAGTGAATAATAAGCCCTCATAATAAGAACAACAATAGCTAACACTCAGTGCTTTTACATGCCTGCAGTGAACTAAGCTGTCTAATTGGATTACCATATGTAAATCTCGCAACCACCCAAGAAAGCAGCTGCTGTTAATGTGCCCATTTCACAAATAAAGGTCTTAAAGAGAAGCCACTGTTGAGAGGTGCATAGGGTGACTGACAGCTGGAGGGTTGACTCCAGAACCCCAATTCCTCACACCTGTATGCCAGCAGCGTGGAAATCACCTCGGATCTCCTTTAAAAAGTTGATTGTAGGGCCCACCTCGCACCAAGTATAAAGCCAGATACACCATATTCTTGAGAGGTCTTCAGGGTAGAATGAGATGTAAGGGGTAAAAGAAGTAAGGGACAGCCAGGGGGCCTGGTGCCGCCAAAGCTGGGCCACATAGGACTGCCCCAATGTGCCACATGCACAGCCCCAGTGCTCCCACAGCCCTGGACAACTGTGCCCTCTGCTTACTCCCCCTGAATGCAGCAACCCCCCAGCGGGGTCAACTGGCCAGTGGTCTGGTCAATTTTCTTTCTGCAATCTAGCCATCTGTCACCCTACCATTTTAGGCTACTCTAGATCATCTTTCCTCCAATACTTGAAGCTAGCATTCCTAAAAAAGAAAAAGCTCTAACCAAAAATACTAATAAATAAAAATCAGTTATTTAACTCCATACATATACTTAACAATTTGCATATAGAAATCAAGTCTGCTAAAAATTAATTACCAGGGTCTAAATACTTCACACGTGTATGCGAATTATTTAGAGTAAATGAACTTCACAGAGCAACAAAACAGTAACAAATCAAGCTGTCAGCGTTTATTTAATCACCAGGACGCATTTTGTTTTTGAAAAACAGCCGCATTGGGATTGAAAGGGGATGAGGATGGTGAAAGGAGTGTGTCATTTCCATTTAAATGCAGCCTCCCAACTATGCTTTTCCTAGCAGCGCCATGGTGACTCACAGTGACATCCTGCAAGGCACCTGGCGCCCAGAGTGGACAGGGCTGTGTGGCTCCACTTTCCAAAGGGAAGGATAAGAGATCAGAATAATAAGTGGCATTTGAGAGTCCCTTTAATAAGGTATGGGGAAATTGTGCAGGTGAGGAGGGAGGGAGAGCCAGCTGAGTGTTAGTGATAACCCTGAGCAGGGTTAGACGCTTCCTTGTCCAGGTGCTAATGATTTCTGGAGATTGTGCTCCCAATTTCTCTCTCCCAGCACACGCTTGGTGATAGGATGTGGCAACCCCACAAGATGCCAAAGCCTGGTGTCCTCTCCACCTCTTCTATCACATACCTGCAAGACTAACACGGACTTAAACAGGATAACGTGCCTAGCACAAAGCAGATACCCATGGAAGGTTCACTTCATCTTTCCTGCCCATAAGCAAAAACCAGTCAAATGTCAACTGGCACATGACACATGTCCAATTAATTTTTAAAATAATTTTTACAAAAACTTTTTTCAAAGAAAAAACAAGAATAAATTAAAGAGAGATTTGTTGAGCTGAAAAAAACCTTGAATTCAAAAGCCAGTTAATTATAGGCTCCCTGTAAGTTTTTTTTAAATTAATTTTATTTTTTAAGCTCATTGCTTGGCCTCAATTAAGGTAGTGATATTTTAATTATCTTAATTGTTTCTGAACTTGTTTTTCAGTTCAAGTTATTTTTAATTAGCTACGTTGATTTTAAAATCCTGGATCAAGCCTGTTTGCTGCCCTTGGGCACATCCTATAGGCAAAGGGTCTGTAAGAGCAGAGCTGGGTACCACCTCATTGATGCTGAGGTGAGAGGATGCTCCATTTTGTGGATTGACCAAAGGGTCCCTGAGAGTCACCTGGGGGAGTGACAAATGCCTGTGCTTATTCCATTAATATTTGCATTCATTCTGTGCACCTCCTGCCCTCCAGGAGCCCACAGCTCAATAGAGACAACAGGCAACAGGAGGGTAAGTTCTGTATGTTATGGGAGACAGGTGAGGACCTCATCCAGCCTTTCAGAAGAACAGGTGAGACTTCCTGGAGAGACTGACATCTATGGAAAAGTGGGTTGAAATCAGGTAATATGATGAGGAAGAACATTCCAAGTTAAAAGAAGCTCTCTTTCCAGGGTTAAGAGATGTCAAGGCAAGTTTGGGGAACTGAAGTGTTTCATCAGTCTGCCAGCAGACTGGAGCAGGGTGGTGTGTGATAAGACCGGAGAGGGAGGCAGCAGCATCATGAACGGCCCTGAAACTACAGTGAGGACTCTGGGGACTATGGCCTCTAAGCTCCACAGTGACAACAAACATGGTAAAACCTGGTGGCCTTTGGCACACCCTCCTGTGCTGAATTTGGTGGCGAGGGGGTAGGAAGAGAGAACCCTTCATATACATTTTATGTGGGAAGTGGTGCTTTGATAAGAACAGACATGGTGCACACTCTCACCCTCCAAATGA